AAGTTGCCCAGGCGGGTCTCGAACCCCCGGGCTCAAGCAATCCACTCACCTCAGCCTCCCAAAGGCACTGGATTACAGGCTGAGCCACCGAGCCCGGCTGCCATGTGCTCTTTTAGCTCTAGGTGGGCCATGTCTTCCTAAGCATTGTCCCCCTCCTCTACCTTGAGGAGATGAATCTCCCCTCTCTCTCTCTTTCCAATTTACTTTCTAAATAAACTATATTTTCCAATCTAAAAAAAAACTGGGGATTTTAAAACCGGGATTGAATTGAATCTATAGTTCCAATTTGAGGATAACTAACCCCTTATAAAATTGAGTCATCCAATCCATGAACATAATATCTCTTTCCATTTATTTAGGTCTTTAATGTTTTTCAAAGCTCTATAAAATTCATGATGAATGACTTTCACATCTTTTGTCAAATTTACTCCTATAAATTTCTTATTTTTGTACTTTAAATATTTCTATTTTTAAAAATTAGTTTTCATATGTACATGGTATCAGAAATTTAATAAATAAATGTAATAAACTTATTTTTTGTGCTCAGAAACCTCATTAAACAATGTTATCTGAATGAATTTTTGGTCTTTTCAATTTATATATATAATTTATATATATATCTTTTTAATTTATAATATATATATTTTTAGTTGGAGTCTCACTCTGTCATATAGGCAGAGTGCAGTGGCATGCTCACAGCCACTGCAGCCTCACCCTGCTAGGCTTAGGCAATCCTTCCACCTCAGCCTTCCAAGTAGCTGAAACTACAGGTGTGCAGTACCGTGCCCAGCTGATTTCTAAATTTACAATAGAGACAAGGTCTCACCAAGTTGCCCAGGCTGGTCTCAAGCCAGTGAGCTCAAGCAATCCTCTTACCTCAGCCTCCCATAGTGCTAGGATTACAGACTGAGCCACCATGCCTGGCCTAATTTATAATTTTAAAAATTTATTGTCATAGTTGAAACACTTGATGTCACTGTCTCTAATATCTATGTAATACCAATGAGTTATGTTTCATTGATTTTCAGCCTTTTTTTATTTCTAATATAACATTTAAGTCTATAAATTTTCCTGTAAAGTTTTAATATCACCCTGAAAATTTAGATATTACATTATTTTTATTATTGTTAAATTCAAAAATTGGTCTCAAACTGGTGAACTCAGGCAATCCTCTCACCTCGGCCTCTCAAAGTACTGGGATTATAGGCATGAGCCACTGCACCCAGCCAATTCCCGTTACTTCTGACACCAACTGAAAGTTCAAGAGGGTCCTAAGACCACCCTCAGATTTGATAATACACCAGAAGGGCTCACAGAATCCACTGAAGGATGTTATACTCACAATTATGGTTTACTGCTAGGAAAGAATGCAAATTAAAATCAATCAAGGGAAGAAACACATAGGACAGGCCCAGGATGGTTCCAAACACTTCCACTGTCCTTTCCTCATGGAATCAGGACATGCTGCCCTTATGATATTGATAAGTGACAACATGCAAGAATACTGCCAACCAGGGAAGCTCTCCCTAGTCTTCATGTTCAGAGTTTTTATGGGGCCTCCATTATGTAGAGGGCATGGTTGGCTGATTGCCTACATGGCTGAACTCAGTCTCCAGATCAATGAATTCTGCAAGATGCAAAGCTCTCACCCTAAATTACCTTGTTGACCTTTTTGGCAATTCCAGCCTCCATCTTATGACTATCAGGTGCAGCCAGTCCCCACCCTAAACAAAGATACTCCTACCGGGTGTGACATAGATCAACTCCCAGAAGTCAAGGGCAAAGCCCAGCCCTCTCTTGGGTAAGGTCAAATCCTTTTCTACATACCATAAAATTTAACATTTTAAAGTGCACAACTGAGTGGTGTTTAGTATATTCCCAATGTTGTGCAGCTAAGCTACTAATGTTATCTCAACCTAGATAGCGTTTACCTGTCCTAAAAGAAACTCTAAACCCATTAGCAGTGGTTCCCCACTTCTCTTTTACCCACCCCCTAAGTGGTTATCCTTGGCAACCATTGACCTACTTATCTCCATGGATTTGCCTCTTCTGGAAGATTCATATATATGGAATCATACGTTATGTGTGTGAACTTTTGTGTCTGGCTTCTTTGACTTAGCATATGTTAATGTATGTGTATCAGCATTTCATTTCTTTTTATGCCAAATAATATTCTACTGTATGGACATACCACATTCTTCAATCAGTTGATAGACATTTGAGTTGTTTCTACCTTTTAATTATTATTATACATAATGCTGCTATAAACATTCACATACAAGCTTTTGTATGGATGTATGTTTTCCATTCTCCTGGGCATATAACTAGACATAAGGCTGGCTTCTCCTGGTGCCTCTTGGCCCATCAGCATATCAAGTTAGGCCCCCACAGAATTGCAATCCCCTCCTGGGTGGAAAGCCTCAATTTCTGAACTCCCCGCTGTTAGCATGTGGGCCCTAGGGCATCTGAACTCTGAGAACAGATAGGGGCCCTCCAGACTAAAGGAGAGAGATCCTATTTACCCAAACTAGGATACCTGTAGACTGGGAAAGGAAAGGAGAATTATCGTGTCACCAAAACTAAGGGATGGAAGAACCATGAAAGGCTACCTGCTCCAGCCCAAAATAGGACCCTTTCATTGCCTTTACGATGTCCCAGCAGAGTGGCCACCTGGGTGTTCCTGAAGGCCTCCATGGACGGGCACTTCCTGGGGCCTAGGCAGCCCCTCTACTTTCAAAGTAATCTTCCTTGGGCTGAGTTGAAATCTAACACAGATTGTTCTGCTCCCAGCTAGCCAAGGTAGCCCTGGGCTCAGATGTCTGAAGACAGAACTCATTTTCCTGAACTATCCACTCATATACCCCGAAATTCTTCACTGCAGCAAAGGCAGTCAGCTCTTCCTGTTCTCAAGCCCAACCACTAAGCCTTGGTATGTACCTTATGATAAACCCTGAGAGGAATGAAATCAACCTCTCCCTCTCATAGATGACACCGAGCCCGGGATTGGCTTTGAAAGGCCTCGCCACTTCCTCAGCATTCAGATGCCATCACTTTGACGTGAAATGCAAAACAAACTACCTACCAGCTTTGTTGGCTCTCCCACAGCCGCCTCAAGCCTTGATCAGCCAGGCCTTCCAGAACAAAGAGGTGGGTCTTCCCGTCCAGCAGGTGGAAGCCAGTGAGCACATCTAGGTGCTGCTGTTCCTGGATCTTCACGCGCATCTTGAAGGCTGACAAGATCTGCTGGATGGTCCTGAGGGGGTAGGAGTCTAGATCGAGGGCCTTGGCATTGATTGTGGTGAGATCCTGCAGCAGGCTGTGTAGCAGGAAGAGTTTCTTGGAGTCGAAGATGAAGACAACGCGGCCAAACTGGGTACCCCCGAGGTCTGGATCAGTGGTTCTGGCACTGGGCGTCAGGGGCACTGTGATGTCCACTCGCAGCTTGAGCAGGGAGTTAGCCTCTAGGTAGCTGCCCATGGGCATTGGGCCGTGCTGGCGGCCATCTCTGGGGACCTGAAACGCCATAACCTTCCTGCTCCTGCTGTCCTGGACACAGTGTGTGGGCTTAACCTCACAGCTGTGGATGGGGACAACCAGGTTCAAGTACTTGTGGCCGAGGAGGAGGTCAGCAAAACTGACCCGGGCAACCCCATAAGGGTCCCATATCTTATTCTGGGATTCAAATGGGTTGTTCTCTGTGTCTCTGGGAGAGATGAGGGCCTGGAAATTGAGGTATGAATCCAGGGGATCCTCCCCAAACAGTGTGGGCTTCCGAGAATACTCTTCTGACTTGCGGTCCCGGTCATGAACTTCTACCACCATAGGGGGGCCCTCCAGGTATTCCCTCAGGTCACTGGGGTGAATCGCCCCAAGGAAGATGACATTGATGTCTTGCAAGCAAATGTGGGTTCCATGGGGTGCCCCCTCAGTCCTGTGAACCGGAGTCTTATGGAACTGGTACTTGCAGTACACGGGCACGCACAGCCTCTATAAGAGAGGAAGGCCATAGCAGGTCAGTCAGATGCAATGGCAGCCACCCACCTCTAGCAAAGGGAAGCTCCCTGCATGAGAAGCTCAAACCCCAGTGCCATTCTGGCCACCTGCAGCCTCTGGAGCATGGGTTTCCTCAACCACAATAGACCCATGAGAGAGCCGACTACGCAAAGTTGTTACCAGGACTGTATGACATCACGTACATGAAAGCACCAAGATGGTGGCTGGCATGAAGTAAAGGCTCAGTAAATATTAGTCATTTTTTCCTTGCAAACTGTGAGTGCCATGAAGATAGGCCATGTGGTTTTTTGCTTGTTTGTTTGTTTTTAGGGATCTCACTCAGCCACCCAGGCTGGAGTGCAGTGACGTGATCACAGCTCACTGCAGTCTCTAACACCTGGGCTCAAGCAATCCTCCCACCTCAGCCTCCTGGGTAGCTGAAACTACAGGTGTGTGCCACCCCTCCTGGCTAACTTTTTTTTTTTAGTTGAAGTCTCGCTCCGTCGCCCAGGCTGGAGTGCAGTGGCATCCTCATGGCCACCCCAGCGTTGACCTCCTGGACTCCAGCGTTCCTTCTGCCTCAGCCTTCCAAGTAGATGGAACTACAGGCCCTTCCCTTGGCATTTCCTGGGCCCAGCCTTGGGATAGGAACTAGAAATACAGATGTGAAAAAAGACACATGAGGCCAGGGACAGGCTCATCCCTGTAGTCCCAATACTTTGGGATGCCAGGGCGGGAGGACTGTTTGAGCCCAGAAGTTTGAGACCAGCCTAGTTAACACAGTGAGACCTTATCTCGACAAGAAATCAAAAAGCTGGGTGCAGTGGCACAAGCCTGTAATCCCAGCACTTTGGGAGGCCGAGGCAAGTGGATTGCCTGAGCCCGCGGGTTCGAGACCTGCCTGGGCAACTTGGCGAGACCTCATCTCCACAAAAAGTCAAAAACTTAACCGGGCGTGGTAGCGAGCGCCTGTAGCTCCGGGTACTTGGAAGGCTGAGGCAGAAGGATCACCGGGGCCCAGCAGGTCGATGCTGCGGTGGCTGGGAGCGTCCACTGCACTCCAGACTGGGCGACAGAGTGAGACTCCAACTCAAAAAAAAAAAAAGAAAAAGAAAGACATCCCTATTTTCCGGACATATACCTGGAGGGTATAAGCTCCTGTTTTGCACAGCAATAGGTAACCAAGCTGAAAGTGCCAAGAGGAGGTAGAAGAGAGCCTCAGAAGGCATGGAGAACAAGATGGAAAGGAAGAGCCAAGTTGTGCTGAGTCACAAAGCAGGAAATTTTGACCATGATGCTAAGATTTTATAATTACAAACTAAGACTTACACAAGTATGTGGTCTGAATTTACGCTCCAAATGTACTATTTTACACTGAAACTGATCATTTATTTTAAAATAGTCCTGAATTGGCCATGCTCCCAGGTACCTGGCAGAGATTACAAACTACCTCTGGAGGAATTAACTTTGAACCTAGGCCTCAAAGAATTTCCACCAAGAAAGATGCATTAAACATGAGGTCACAGTAAAAACTACAGAACACCTAAAGAAAAAGGTACTATTCATGAAATCAGATGCACCAAGGCATAAGATATTAGGATAATCAGATATTTACTAGCAATGAATGGTCTTAAAATGTAATTTTAAAACTACCATAAACAATAGCAAAAAAAAAAGTCAGAAAGTAGGAATAAAGTGAAAGCTGACAATTACAAAACCATTGCAGAAAGAAATTCAAGAAGACCTAAGGTGAGAAATATAGTATTTTCTAGGACAGGACAATGCAACATAGACCTAAACATAAAAGGTTAAATTATTACATCTTCTAAAATAAAACATAGGAGAATATATTCATGAAATTGGGGTTAGCAAAGATTAGCTAGGTCACAAAAAGCTAAGGATAATAGAAAAAGTTGATAAATTATACTTCATCAAAGACACTATCAAGAACATGAAAGTCAAGTCCCAGAGTATCAGAAAATAGTACACACACACACACAAACACCACAGAGGGTGCCAAAAAATGTATACATATTTTAAGAAAGGCAAAAACTGTATTAAAATTGCAATACTCGCCAGTCTCGGTGGCTCAGCCTGTAATCCCACGCCTTTGGGAGGCTGAGGTGAGTGGATTGCCTGAGCCCGCGGGTTCGAGATCCCCCTGGGCAGCAAGACCTCATCTCTACAATAAATCAAAAAATCAGCCGGGCGTGGTAGCGCATGCCTGTAATTCCAGCTACTCGGAAGGCTGAGGCGGAAGGATCACCAGAGCCCAGCAGGCAAGGCTGCGGTGGCCGGGAGCAGCCACTGCGCTCCAGTCTGGGCGACAGAGTGAGACTCCAACTCAAACAAAATAAAAATAAATTTAAAAATAAAATAAAATTGTAATACTCAATATATACCAATAACAAAAGATGAATACAAGTCACATTTGACTTCTGCAATTAATTATAAGAGGTGCTCAAAGTGGTTACCATCAGCATCCAGACACTTCTGATTATGCAAACTAAAATACATAGATAACATCTTTTAAAATGTGTATACATTTTTGGCACCCCTGGTGTGTGTGTGTGTGTGTGTGTGTGTGTGTGCGCGCGCGCGCTGTGGTCTGAGTGTTTGTGTTTCTCTAGAATAATTCATATGTCAAAGCCTATTCCTCAGTGTGCTAGTATTAGAAGGTGAGGCCTTTGGGTGATGATTAGGTCAGGGGGATCCACCTCATAGGTGGGATTAGCACCCAAATGAGAGGGACCTCCGAGAGCCAGCACACCCCATCTGCCACGTGAGGACCCAGCTGAGAGGCACGACCCATGAGGACACGGGCCCTCGCCAGACACTGAGTCTGCTGGGGCCTTGATCTTGGACTTCCCGGCCTCCAGAGCTGTGAGCAACAAATCTCTGTCACTTATAAGCCACCCAGTTTATGTTATTTTTGTCAGAACAGCCGAAATGTACTCAGTACCTGACCAAGGACTTGTATCCAGAATGTAAAAAGAACATCTGTATATAAATAACAAAAGAAGAGTTTTCAAATCTGGTTAAATGTAGTGAGTACACCCCACCTGCCTCTGCCAGTGAATGCAACTAAACACTTAGACAGAGTTCATGAAGTAGCTATCTGAAGACTCTAAAAAGTAAAAGTTGGTGATCACAGTAGAGGAGCAGACTACCTTTGAAGTACGGCCAACATAGCCATGAGTTTCCTGGATTTTGTTTTCTTCCGGTCCCAGACTGGACTCAAATGAAGCCTGAATCCCAGAAGTATGTGCCAGGCATGAACAGACAGAGTGCTAAAAGAGGCCCTCTCTTCCTGGTCCAAGGAGTGGGAGACAAGGTAGGGGGAAATCCCTTGTTGTTCTCCCCTTCTGGCCCTGCCATAAGGAAAGTTCAGGTCAAAGCTACGATCTGGTGGGTGGCAGCAGCAGCAAGGCAAGCTCCAGAATAATCTGAGAGAATGGAATTATCTCTGACCAGAGGACTTTTGATCCACAGAGTGTGTGCAGAACCCCCACTGCTGTTTTTTTCTTGGGGTGTCTTCACGCCACTTGTCCTCAGAAGCAGACCCAGTTGCACAAAGTGCATGTGAGAGTGGGAACACAAAAGCTACACCTGTCCAGTCAGAGGACAAGGAAGGTGACCCCATAGGAGCTGAAGAATATGGGGGAGACTGTAAAAAGAAAGAAAACTGAGAAAGGGGGTCCTATAAAGTTGTGTCTCTGAATGGAGAGAGTCTCTGGATTGAGGGACAATTGAGGGCATTTGAGCCATACTCAAAGGCTCCCTAACTGCTTAATCAAAAACCCAGCCCCTTTTTACATGTTGACATTCAGACTGTGACAGGCCAGATGTTGATCTCCTCCGCCCCCAATCCTCCAGGCAGGGAATTGGGAAAGACCTGTAGATACTAACCTTGAGGTTTTCCACCAATGACCCACTCAGACCTGATGACAAAACTCAGAACTGAGAGGCTCACTATGTACCCAGAGGCTGCCTTGTAGGTATCTGCCCTCTTAGCTGTGAGCAAAAAGCTAGGGGTTAACAGCCACAGGGGAAAACTTCTGACATGGAGGGTAGAGACAAAAACAGAAAAACAGAAAAATCAATTTGGAGGAAATACAGAATACACAAATGATGACAGTGATCCCATGTAGCAGGATGGCTGTGACAGGGGCCCCCAAGACCACCCTTAAGTTGAGTAATTTGCTAGAGCTCACAGGACTCAGCATATTGTTGTACTAATAACCGTGATTTATTACAGCAAACAAGACAAAGCAAATTGGCAAAAGGAAAAGGCACAAGAGGTGAAGCTCAGAAGAAACCAGGCACAAGCTTCCAAAGTCCTCTCCCAGTGGAATCATACAGGATGTGGCTAATTCCTCCACCACACATTGCGACAGCATGTGTGAAATGTTGCCTATCAGAGAAGCCCATTGGGAACTCAGTGCCCAAGAATTTTACTGAGGGCTGGTCAGGTGGGCACCCTTTTCCTAGCATGTATGAAGATCTCAGACTCCCAGAAGAAAAGGAGGCGGTTCAACATAAACCACATTGTTTGCAAACAGTTTAGGCACAGTCAATCTTTCTTATCAGGGAAAATGGGAATCCTCCTGAAATGCAAGTTCCCAGATGCTGGCCCAGGGCAATCTTGCAAGTAGGACTTGTTTGTTTGTTTGTTTTTGAGTCAGAGTCTCACTGTCACCCAGGCTGGAGTACAGTGGCATGTTCATGGCCACCCACAGAGTCGACCTGCTGCGCTCTGGCAATACTTTTGCCTCAGCCTTCCAAGTGGCTGGAACAACAGGCACACACTGATGCACCCGGATAATTTTTGATTTATTGTAGAGATGAGGCCTCGTCAAATTGCCCAGACTGGTCT